TCTTGTCTTTTCAGCATGGGTGTCCAGTAGGTACTTGAAATTGAAGAATGAACTGGTGCGATGTCCTTTCAAACTAAATTGGGCCAAAACAAAGTAAAGTGTGTTTTGAATTCAAACCATAACCATCCAACACAAACTTTCTACAAAAAAAAAAAAAAAAAAAACTCTCTGGGGTAGCTGAACTATCATAATACGATGCATCGTTTGGGAAAAGAACGATGTAGTGATAAGTGTTTCCCCAAAACCGTAGTTTCTCTGTCGCAGATCCATCATTTGAACCATGCTAGTTATAACGTAAAACCTCCATAATGACGCTCTAAACAGGGCAGAGTAACAACTTCTTTAGAGAACATGACCAACATTTTTTGTATTAAATTATATTGTTTACACACCCACTTAATAAAATGCAATTTTAGTTTTGGTAAAAACATGCACTCGTTTTCTATATTAACTGAAATATATAAAGGGCACATATAGGGCCAATGTTTCCTTTACAGATGTGATTGAGAATATTCCCTATTCTGTGCTAAAACGCAAAACTACTTCGCCAACACTGTAATCTCCTATATAAATTATGTAAATTCTTTATGGATGTAATTTACAGTAGGCTATTTATTATTATTATAATGGTTATTATTATTTTGTTATTATTAGTTAGGATATTGTTTATAATTTTTTTATTGTTTGAAAAGTTGACTTTTATAACTGACACATTCAAACCACTGCAGAAATGTTCTAACCACTAGGCCCATGTCATATACAGTAGGTACAGATACATTTCTTAAATAAATAACTTACTATAAATGAAAACATTAACGTATGCTATATATATATTTGTTTTCAAAAGCTTTGGAGACATAACGTAAATTCTGCTTTTAAATAAGTCACCTAAGAGCCACGGTTGTGTTCAAAATGTCATAATGTTTTCAAAGTGCACTCCGAAGGGAGCGCAGTTGTCAATATGAGGATCGCTAAAACTGAGCTGTAAAAATACTTTGAAAGCAAATTACATAAAAGACAGATGTTTTTTTTTTTTTTTTTTTTTAATCATTCCGAGTTTAAATGTTGGAACATTCTAAACGAATGCTTAACTACAGCTCTAGAGGTGTAGTTACAAGCGTGCAAATTTGCGAAGCAGTTTGCATATATTTGTTGGAACGACGGATTGAGAAACACTAAATAAACGAGTTTTTAACGATGGAATATGCGATCTTAGTTGACTAATGATGGTTTTCAGAAATGCACCCCTGGTAAACATTTTCCACTTCTGGGTCTGAATCTCCATGTTTTTATTACCGTGACGGTTGGATTTAGGGTTGGGGTAGTGGTCGACGTTAATGAAATTTAATTAAAGGGAAATTTATTAAATCATTTTCGTTAACTTCCAGCCGCAGCATTATGTGATGTATGACTGATTAACCATGTGGATGGACGATAACAGTTTTTTTGAGCCTACCAGTAGGTGCAGAGGACCCCTACTGGCTCATATCTATCAGCTGATAACGCCCATTCAATCAAATGAATAGTTTGAACAAAATAAGAAAGATCAAACAAAATGCATGTTATTTTTTTATTTAGTAGTGTCTCGAGTAAGAAATTTTACATAAAATATGTTTACTTATAGTTAAACCCACACAGAATCTGCGTGTGCAGAGTTTTGCAGATTTCCACAGATTTGGCTCATGTATTTATTTATGTAGATGCGTGTAAATTTATATTTATTCAGTTTTTAAATTAATTTCAGTAATATTATTCACAAATATGAAAATGTTCATTTGGTTTATTGACAATACAGTTTGCAAAGTAATATTTTCTGTCTTTTATTCCTTTATTCAATTTATTATATAGGAGACTTTGCTTTGTTTACCAAAAAGGGGATCTAGATGGATTTGTATTACAAACATTAAATACAAGTTTAAAAGGTGTTACCTTTATTTCATATGTTTAGTTATGATACTCTCAAAATAATTCCACATAAATCAGAATTTATTTTTTTTTTTTAATTCTGCGCAGAAATAGCAAAACATGTCTGCAGATTCTGTCTGGCCCTACTTATCGCTCATTACACAAAAGTCTAGCTAAAATTATTAAAATAACCGCTTGCAGGAGTTTACATACCATTTTTAATACTGTGTGAGTGCTTTTTCTGTATTGTGATGGTTTTTCACGAGTCTCTTGTTTGTTCTAAACAATTAAACTGATTGCTGTTCTTCAGAAAAATCCTCCATCTCCTGCTGATTTTTCTGTCTTCCAGCATCTTCTGCAGATTTGAATCCTTTCCAGCAGTGGCTGTATGATTGTGAGATTCACACGGAGGGTGATTTGAGAGACTCATACAAAAATTTAAAAAAAAAAAAAGCTCAAACGCTCATTGATGCTCCAAAAGAAAACACAAGGCGTTAGGAGCTGGGAGGTGAAAACTTTTAAACAGGACGAAGATATCCATTTTGTTCTCATTTTGTTAAAATATATTTTTTTTCTTCATTAAGCACTGCCCATTGAAAAAGACAGAAAATACTTAGATTCATTCCAGAACACAAATTTTGTGCAATTTACCTTGATCTTCAGATTCTAAATGTTTTCAACTCCCAGCTCTTAATGCCTCCTCCTCAACACAGTTCTGCTTAGTGCTACATCCTCTGATTTGATTCATGTTTTGTTTTGGGGTTTTGGGCAGTTCTGTCCAAACAGCTTCCGAAACATGATTTTCATTCTGAGTGCCCTTTAATAGAAACGCTATAGCACATTTGGCAGCAACACATTCAGTCCACGGCTGTTCAATCTTTACCTAGAGGTATGCCTTCCAAGTTAATCTCCAGCCATCATTACAGTTTAATTCCCCACTATCAGGCATTGTGCAGTACTGAAGCCACATACCTTTTGTTGACACAGTGTGCATTACCAACATGACTCACTGTGACTGTGCACGACTCATCATGACTTCATCCCCTCCAAAACTCACTCAGACCAACACAACAGTTCATATGTGATCAAAATAAGCTTCATTCACAAAACCAGTGGCAATACTCATTCAGAAATACACTTTATCCATAACAAACTGACGTAAATTAAACACTAACAGCGTTACAGAAATATACTTTTATTTTATTTTTTTACTTTGAATGAATTTTCATGAACATCGGTATGCAATTTTATATTTACCTTTTCACTGTCTTGGATGTGCTAAATAATGGGTGATAAGAATTTTAAAAATGCTGCAATTTGTAGCAAATGGTAAACACTTTCAATTCTACCAAACATTTGCTAAACTGGAATTTAGAGACATAAGCTTTACATAAATGTATTGTACTTGCGTAAATGACATACTTTTTGTCCGCCACACACTCCCGCTGTCAGTATGTTTATCGCATTAAATCTTCTTTCTCTACTGTATTATTAATATTGTAATATTTAATCTATATTTCCTATCATAATTAGTTCCAAGCTATTTCTTTTTTACAAAAAAATAATTCTACCAGTACTAAAGCAGGAATCCTATAAGAAGGCCTTTAGCTGAATTTACGATCAGTTTGTAATGATTGTCATTTTGTGGAGTTTCCACATTTCAAAATAAATATGAATAAAAAAAATGAATAAAAATATTTTGAAAATGTTTTGAAATGAGTTTGTTAGCGTTTGCTGCTGAATGTGAAAAGTGTTTGGAAATTTTGAACAGTATTTCTATTGCATGCATTTTGCGTGAAAGCAATGAAAAATGAATCTGTTTCAGCACAGACTCCTGTTCGGCTGATTGTGTGAAAAAAGTTTTTGAACTTGCTTAAGTTGCTTAAGTACTACTGCACAATGCTTGAAGAAAACGCGAAACAGACCCCCTAAATGCCACTCCCATCTACACTCTCAGAAAAAACCCATGTCACTGGGGCAGTACCTTTTTATGGAACAGAACTGTACTTTAAGACAAAGAAACAAATTTGTACCATTGCAGTTTGTACTTTTAAAGACATGATTTGTACCATTTGATATTAATAATAAAACTATCAATAAATGCTCACCAAATGTTTAGTAAAATGCTTTACATATTTAGTTTACAATACCTGTAGTTTTCTTTTACCAGTTGTGTCCAGTAATCTTTATATTCATAGATATTGGAATCAAGGAGTTGTTCAACACTTTGGTATCTGGTACATCAATTGTGCCATAAAAGGTGCAGAAGAGCATCATAAGAGGTCTTTTCGGTTCCATATAAAGAACAACTTTTACAAAGGTACAAAACTGTTCCTTAAGAGGCACTATTTGTTCCACTGTGTACCTTTTTTTTCTGAGAGTGTAGTTCATGGCACCAGTATAACCTCTCTAATTCTGCTGGTCAGTGTGTAAGGTGATTATGATTAGAGGGACTAACTAAAAAAAATTGTGCATAGGGCCTAAAATTGCTGGCTACACCTCTCCCTTTTAGTATGTTTCCGGTTGTAATCCTGTAACTAATGATGACTCGGTGCACCCTCTAAATTGATAACAGGTAAAAAGTAGATTTTTTTTGTCACTTTTTAAGAGGATTCATAGATAATCGTGACCTCCAGAATAATGTTATGCACTTTTTGATTAGTACCCAAGTGCACAGTCTTAAAGATTTCATATTCATGTTTATTTATTTGATGCGTTTATTTATTTGTGTAAAAGACTTTATTGTATGAAAAGATGGTTTTATAAGATGTTCAGGCCTATGATTAATTTAAAAAATAGTTTGAGAAAGTTTTTAAACAAACTACAAGTTATTAGCAAATTCGAAATATAAAAATGCATGATAATCAAATGAAAAATAAAACGGCATAAACTTTGCTGTACAAATGAACCCGTTCATGTCACCCTTTCATGATAAGTTTTAAGTATTGAAGCTCAGGTGGCAGAATGAAATTTTAAAGGCAACTTCAGAATGTTTCCTTATTATTTCTATGACTTCTCATGTGACACATGGCAGCCACAATACTGATGCATTCTGAAAGCTGCTAGTTATTCCAAAACTACTGCCAGTTTAAGAC